ATGGTGTATAAAATTGATTTTAAGATAAAAAATTAGACGACAAAGAATTAACTTGACGGAGCTCAAACTCAAACCACACGGCACACGGCAGGGTGGGGTTGGGTATATCATGCCTATGTACAATCAGCTTGTAACACTCCAAAGAGAAAGGAAAACTTGAAATTGCATCATATGACCCCTTTAAGTACCTTGGCAATAATGGGTCATTTACAGATTTTTACTTCTCCACCATCCATTTGTTTCCACCCCTTTGCAGGAGAAGGATCAGAGGAGTTTAGACTTGAATACTGCCAAGTGCATGCTGGGACTTCTGCTTGGGAAGACCTGGCCATTGTTTCCAGTGTTTAACCAGTTTCTAGAAGTAAATATTTGAAACTTTACAGTCTATCAGTGTCACTTTAATTTTTTTACATGACCAGTCAAATGTTTGAACACACCTTCACATTCATTATTACTACTCATTATTACTAAAGGGATAGTTGACTCAAAAATGAAAATTCTGTCATAATTTACTCACCCACTCATTCCAAAACTGTATGACCTTTTTAATTCTGTGAAACATAAAAGAAGATATCTTGAAGAATGTTGGGAACCAAAGCATTTTGGTTACCAATGATTTCCTTTGTATGGACAAAAAAGCATTTATTTTATGTTCGCCAAAAAGAAAGTCATACAGTTTTAGAACAACACAAGAAGCAACAACAAAAAAGTAAAACTAATAAAAATCTTCTTATATATTTGACATTCAGCCAATGCATCATGGAATGCTTTTTAAACAGTATTGAGAGAGTTCTACAATTTTATAGCTACCATTTTGTGTTTGTCTGAAGAATCAAATTCACCATACATTTTAAATCAAAAGTTTTAGGAAGCAAATTTAGTGAGTACATATATTTGACTGGTAGTTTATACAGATATTTGCACATCAGTACATATTGTCTTATATTTTATGTCTGTGAAATTTTTGACAGTTATTCCTCTCTTTTTTCCCCCCACAGCAATCAAAGTATAAGGTTATAAATAAAGATCAATGGTGCAATGTTCTAGAATTCAGTAGGACTATCAATCTTGATCTCAGTAACTATGATGAGGACGGGGCCTGTGAGTACAAACACCCACAATTTAACATACCTGTATAGTTATAATTATTACACCCCAATTTAGACATCCATCATTACTTTGTACAATGCAGCTGGAAGTACATCAGATCTGTCTTTTGACTAATTTTTCTCTTTTCTCAGGGCCAGTGCTGTTGGATGAGTTTGTGGAGTGGTATAAAGACAGAGAGATGTCGTAGCGACAGCTTCCCCACACCTACCACCATCACCAACTAGAAACTAATCGCCAACAATCACAATGACAATGACAACAGAAACGGCTTTGAAACAAACATCTAGATAACAAAGTACAATTCAAAACTGAAGTGTTTGGGACAGATGATGGTGGCCCCTGGCGATGAGGGCTTGAGTGTGTGAGTGTTTGCATAGAATGTAATTATTAATGCACATGTTTGTATGTCGCCCTTTTAGCCGGGGCCATAGGAGGGTCACTGGTGGTTGTGTGTTGGAGAAACAGCACCTCACCGACTCCACCTAATGCCCCCCATATTCCACAATGCATTGTGGGTAAGCACACGGCCAGTGTTGGTGCCGCCTTCCCACCCCACTGTGATGTTTCATATTGCTGTGAATGTTTCGATAGGCTCTTATAAGGAGGATGAATTTGGATTCTCCACAAGGCAGGGTAGGTACAAACTCACATACTGTCTGAAGTTTCGGTAATTAGGGCATGGAAGGAAAGGAAAAAGGAAGAACCTGCTTGGCTTTTTACTGAAAGTCAGTGACTTATTACTAAGACTTTATGGGTCAAAAATCGAAATAGCTTACAGTGTCGCTCTGCTGATGTGGTCCAAACACTGTTTACTATGGTTTTTATGTTAAAGGATGATGACCGTCAGAGCATGTTACCATAGATGCATAGCAACCTTTACCATAAGTTTTATTTTTACCAGCCTCACTGCACTTGGTTGCCATTTAATAAAGCGCACCACATGCAAGAGTAGGGCTGTGCAAATAATCGAATGCGATTTTCATGCGCATCTCGTCAGTAAAGCCGGTTCTGTGATTAGTAATAAATCTCCAGCACGTGCTTTCAGATGGAGCGGCATTTACTACACAGAGCCGTAGTTCACTGACAAGCTATGCAATATCACGTTCAAAATAACAGGTGATTATTTGCACATCCCTATGCAAGAGTGTCATAGACATTCTGCTTTAAGTACTTCCTGTGGTGTTGCATCAGTATCCTTATCACCACTTACATTCTTGATATTGATTATGAGATCATCAAGAATAGATTTGCTGTTTACAACATGAAGAACAGTGGGTTATATGTATCTCGAGCGTAGTGCCCAGCATGACCATTGTGCTATCACACTGGCAATGGCAAGATATGGCCATCTTTTAAAAGAGTGTGAGCACGTTAAAGTGACTGTGGAATGCATTCATTATATGATTTGATTCCTTAGCAGTGTAACTATACTGTGTATGTCATAGTTAAAATGACAGGACATGGATCTACGTGATGGAAAAGAGAGAGGATGAGAGAAAGCTGTTAAAGTGCACTTTTGATTTCTGTGATGAATTGCCACAAAAATATAAAAACAGGTATCCTGCCCTAAACACTGACACTCCTTTGGCCACATCCTCTTACACAGATCTTGTGGTCAAATGTGATCACCTTAACCCATAGTGACCAATGCCTAGCAACTATTTAACATTCTAGTTATGTTTGTAAAACTGTTGAGTTTTGTCTATGGCTGTGGCGTGAAGCTAACTTGTCATCTGAACAAGAAAAAAAATGCATGCATGCATTCTGCAATTAGAGCCGTCTTCGTGAATGAATGAATGAGGTTTTTTCTTTTTGTACTTTTTTTTTTGCTCTTGTTTCTTTTTTTTGTACAGGTATTTGTAGAAGTGGACTTTTTTTGTGCTTAATTTGGGTATCCGCGGTCATGCAGTCTTAACGCTTTATGAAAAACATGATTGTGTGATGGTATTTAGAGCTTAAACACACTTGTAACCTCATCTGTTGAGATGTTCTTCTCTGCATTGCCTTCTCCACCATCTCCACCAAGTGCTAAACTACCCTGTACATGAGTGACTGCAGCATTTCAGTATATCTGCAATTTCATGCAAACTTATTGATTTTCTTATGTTCATCTTATAAGGAATTACAATACAGAAACAAAAATTATTAACTTTATTAAATCTTATTTTGGGTAACAAATTTTTTTTTCCAAAACATTTTTGATCGTTTTATTTCTACTTTTTCTGAAAGATGAAGGTTGCTTACCATAAATTATTTATCAAGTTATTCACACAGCATCTAAGAAGCCAACAGTCTATGTATGCTGTGCATGCTGGCCAGAATCCATTTAAAAAACGTCTACAGACACGTGTCATAATCCCATTCATCTGCACCCGTTTGTGCCTGAGGGAAATAGTGGTTTAAAATGAATTATTTCAACAGATAGACAAGTTCCCTGTGTTATGACTGTTGCTTTTGTTGGGGGAGTATGTAATGCAGAGGGCTGAGCATTCTCATCTGACTGTATATATGTATGGATGTGTCTATGTGTTTGTTTTCACTGTAACCTCTCTACATTCAATATATATATATAAAGGGGTTTATTAACTAAATGTGGAGTCATTTCATCTGTTTTAGATGTCATGTTTTAAAGAAAGAGAAGACTTAGACTAACAACTATTCTGGAGTCATGCTGAGACTCTTTCCCCTTTTGCTGGAAAGCTAGTATTCAACAGAAACCATCAAGATTTAGTGAAAGGGACTGAAAAACAGTGATTCGACAGCTTTGGAAGAAAGTTTATAGCCCCATTAATGGGTATAATGTGTTGTCATTGAGTGCAGTTAATAGCCTCTGGAATATTTTAATACTGCACATCATGACTGATAAAATCAACTCAGTTTCTAATCTTAGACGATAAACATTCTTATGTACATTCATACATCTTTTCAATGCAAAAAAGAACAGAACTTCTATTTATGTTCATAATTATATTACAGTATTTACAATACTCCGTAAAAAGCAAATCTCAACCTCAAAAGCTGTGATTTTGAAAGTATCAGCTCAGATTTGTACAACATTGTTTGTCTGGTGAGTCCAAATGAACTCTTTAGCTAAATGAAAAATTCCCTATACTTTGGAGTTGAGTTTACTGGTGACTTTGAACCGAGTGTTGATGTACTCTGAGTTTTAAGGCCATGTAAAACTGGGGCTTTGTCTCCTTCTGTGCGTCTGGACGTTAATGTGTTCCTTGTAGATGCACTGCTGTATGTTTGTTCTTTTTGGAATGGTGTCACTCCTCCGTAATCTGCCGATGATCTGTCCTGCTTGTCGCCTTCTTGTTGCATGGAGGATAGGGATGCAATGTTGAACTCATCAATTTCCCTTCTCCTTTGCTGCAATAATCGTCTGTGTTCTTGCCTTTGATGGACTTCAGAATTTTCTCTGAGATACTCTCTGGCATCCTCTTGTTCTAGGGGAGGTGGGGATGTCTGTGGAACTGCTGGTGGCTCATCTTGTGCTGGTACATCCACATCCACAACCTCATGTCCTACAGATTGTTCGTCACTGGACGAGGAACTTGAATTTCTTAACTTTGACTTTAGGCCAGTCAGCTCCACTGAACTGTCCATAAGCTCTCCTTTAATAATGTTGTCCTTGTAAGTAGATTCTGATTCGGCCTTTATTATTAATGCAGACCTTTTTTTCATTGAGGTAGGAGGTGACACCTCAGATGATAAACTGGACCATGTGGTTTCTAGGACTGCATTTGTTGTTGGCGTTAAATCTCTTTTTGTTAATTTGGTTGAAGATGGTGGTCCACTCTTTGTGAATGCAATGTACCTCTTTACATTTGGGATTTTATCAAGAGAGACTCCAGTTTCTTGAGGGAAATTTGTGTCTGTTTTTCTAATGATATTATAATTAGTAGCATATGGTTTAACATATTTTGATGAAGTGTTCAATATCTTTGTTTCTTGAGCTACCCCAGATATTCCAACTCTGTCATCTAAGACAGCAGTTGGTGCCCGAGCAGGATATTGACTTTCAATAGGTGTGAATTGAATGTATCTCTTAACTCTTGGTACTCTGTCAAGATTTTCAGATGAAGTGATCTGTGCCGTTGATTCTGTTTTGTTTCCATTAGTAGCCGGTTGTACATAATCGTCAACTGAAGTGCTGGATCCCCTTAATTCTGTTGCGGTCACCTTAATGGATTTAACAACACTTGAAGACTGATGTTTTGACTCTGCTGAGGAATAAGGTTCATATTGTCTGAATTCAATGTACCTCTTTACTTTTGGGATTTTGTCAAGAGATTCACCTGTTTCTCCAGTGATATTGCCATCATTAGTCGATGGTTTATCATCATCTTCAGAGGAAGAGCTTGGTCTCTTAGTTTCTTTGGCTATCACAGACAGGTTGACTCTTCCAGCTGAGAGAGCAGTTGTTGTCTGAGCTGGAGAATAACTTTCAGGATGTGTGAAATTAATGTATCGCTTAACTTTTGGTATTTTATCAAGAGGTGCTCCAATATGTCCACCAAAATTGTCTTCCTTAGCAGTTAGTGTGAGATCTTCCTCAGATGAAGTGCTTGATCTCCTTGTGTCTTGAACTACCCCCAATATTCCAAGTCTTTGAGCTGAGACAGTAGATGTTGACTGAGCAGAGGATTGACTTTCAGGATGTGTGAATTGAATATATCTTTTAACTCTTGGCACTCTATTAAGAGACACTCCTGTTTGCCCAGAGCCATTGTCTTCCTGAACATCATCCTCAGATGTGTCTGGTTGTTTCAGTTCGGTTTCTGTCACCTTCATGGATTTTTCTGTGGTTAAAGGAAGAAATGGTGACCGATTCAAGGAATATGGTTCAGATTGTGTGAACTTAATGTACCTCTTTACTTTTGGGATTTTGGCAAGATCTGTTTCTTCAGTGATATTCTCTTTTTTAGTAGTCGGTTTAATATCTTCCTCAGATGAAGTGCTCCATCTCCTTGTTTCTTTAGCTACCATAGATACATTGACTCTTTCAGATGAGAGACCAGTTGTTGTCTGAGCTGGAGATTGAATTTCAGGATGTGTGAATTGAATGTATCTCCTAACTCGTGGGACTCTATCAAGAGATGTTCCTTTTTGTCCAAAGACATTGTCTACTTCTTCGGCAGTTTTTTTGACATCATCCTCAGAAGAAGTGCTCGATCTCTTTGATTCAGATTTAGTTTTCACCTCAGTTGTGACTTGCAGTGTATCTGAAGTGGTGGGTGACACAACTGGAAGGTGAGATATAGGCTGTTTAAATTGAATATATCTCTTTACTTTTGGTTCTCTATCAAGAGAGACACCGATCTCTCCAAATAATTCAGTTTCCACCTTCCCTGGTTTAACTACTCCAGAGATTGAAGGTGAAGATGCTGACTGAATGTGTTGTGGATGAAGTTCAGTTTCCTTAAACTTAAGATATTGCTTTACCTTTGGCAAACCATCAAAAGATGCATCTGTTTTAGCAAAGAAATTATCACTGTCATTCTGAGATCTGACATCATCTTTAGAGGTGCTGGTGAGCATAGACTTTACTGCCTTAGTTGTGGCCTCAATTGTATTTGAAGGACTGGATACTGATAGTGTTGGGGAAGAAGGTTCAAACTGTTTAAATGTGATGAATCTTTTTACTTTTGATACTCCATCAGAAGATACACCTATTTTCCTGAAGAAATTATCTTCCTCGGTTGTCAGTTGATCATCATCTGATGATGAGCTATATCTCGTTTCCTGTATAGCATCTTTTATAGTTAAGAAGGGAAATGATGGCAGAGTTGGTGAATGAGGTTCAGACTGCTTGAAGTGAATGTATCTTTTCACTTTTTTAATATTTTCAGGAGTTACCTTTATTTGCGTTAAATAACCCTGGTCTCCAGAGGATGTGTCAATTGTACCTTCAGATTTAATTTCCCTATCAATTGTGCTTTTTGTAGAGGATGAAACTGATGGCAGAGCTGGAGAATGATGTTTGGACTGTGTAAATT